CTGCATTTAGATTATTGTTCCTCATTCCGTGACGATGCCAGTTGCTTCAGCTCAGAAAGAACAAAGATTAAGCCAGCCACATAACTCATAATACATTGCATCATAAGTCATCAACAACTGCAACAATAACTGTCCACAAAACACCTTTATCAGTGTTGTGTTCGTTACAAATATTCACAAATATCAACCTCCACCAAAGTCTTCTTCAGGTGCTGACTATACTTGAATAAATTTTAAAGTAGGCTACTGATACATTTGGTACAAATCATCTATGAATTCAAACAATAATTTCGTACAAAAGTTTGGATTTATTTCTTAGATTTAGCATTAGCAATAATTATCATATAATTTCAGTATAATTTATTATATGCATTATGTAGATATGATAAATAATTTCTTAGTACAAGTACTTAAACAACAGAGTATAAATCTTTTAAAAGTTAAAATTTTTATTCCTTGAAATTTAACAATGGCTGATTGTTAACTCACTTGTCAGTCTGATAAAGGAATAGAAGTATTGAATTTCAACAGAAAAATGTTTTTAAACTTCTGCTCTAACTTCAACTGTAATAAATAATTAATAAGAGAATAAATTAAATTTTCAAATAAGTAACAAAATTGCTTCAGTATTTGAGACTGATTTAATTTGTTATAAATCTTCTATTCTTCTTTATGTGTGATTTAATGTATTTCAGTTTTCAAGCAAAGTATTTCATTCTTCAAAATAACAATTAAAAGTTTGATATTATAAAATTACATCAACTAACAACAACTTTGATTAATTTCAGAAAGTGAAATTTCAATAACAAATTATAAATATAAATGAAATTTATATAAATGATATGAATAATAAAAATATAACTTCATATCTTTTTTAATGGAGTTTTATAATTACAAGATTTGGTCAAAATACCTTTTAAAATTGCTGCTTTGCAACAGTGCTTCACTTGCGTGTCAGTAGATGTCTCTGAAACACATGCGAGATGGCAACCTGTTTTGACATCATAGAGATATGCAATTGTTCTACAAGTGTATCTGTCCAGCCTTTCTTGACTGAATATGACAAAAGAATTGCAATTTTGGTGCAGTTTTGTCCGAGAGATTCGGTGGTGCAGTGTCTCGAAACTCTCCAACAAGCACTTTGTGAGCAAACCCCATCCCAGACTACTGTGTACAAGTGGTATCAGTGCTTTTGACCTAGGTGCTTCAACCTCGAAGACGACGAATATGATAGTTGTCCAAGGGCTGTGGTAATTGCAGAGAAGATTGATGCTGCCAAGATCCTGCTTGATAAAATCCAATGGATAAGTATCAGAGAACTAGAATGTAACCTCAATATCTCGCACGGGTCAGTCATTATCATCTTGCACGAACACCTGCATACCAGGAAGCTGTGTTCACATTGAGTACTTCATCAGTTGCAGCCGAACCACAAGGAGAACCGTGTGAATTTTTGCAAGTTTATGGTGGAGAAATTTAATGGCAGAATATCAGAAATGGTCACCAACATACTGACATTTGACAAAACCCAGATATACTATTACAACTCTGAAACTAAAACCCAGAGCAAGCAGCGGGTAGCCGAAGGCCAGGATATCCCCATGAAGTTTCTCCGTGAGCACAATGCTGGAAAAGTCACAGTTGCAATTTTTTTTTTCACCGTTACTGACATCTTGGAACAAAGTGTTATGGTGACTGGGAAATGATACTCTTCCATTTGCTTGAGAAAAGTGTTTCAGTCACTTGAAGAAGAATGTTCAAGATCCAAATTACACATCTTAATCCATCGCAATAATGCTTCCAGACACTGAACTGAAGTGACCCAGTTCTTCGACCTTGCATAACTCCAAAAATGTTATGCAAGGTCGTCCAACTTCTACATCCAGACCTGGTACCTTGCGACTTCTTCCCCTTCCCACAGACAAAAAAAAATTTAAAAGGAAGGAAGTTTGATTCAAAGGAAAAACTGGTGAATGTATGACAGCAGAGTTACTCAAGTGTTCAAAGGTGTATTTGCAAGGGTGCTTTTTGAACTTGTTTTCAAGAATGAAGAAATGCATTGATTCCGACGGAAAATATTTTAAGAAATGGAGATATCTGTATGATTCTGTGCATAAAAAATGAATTATTTCTGACAACCATAACAAGTGTTTTCTGCAGATTTTTTGACCACCCCTGTATTACATGCCGACGAATATGGGCATCGGTGATAGATTTCCCACTACACATATGGGGAACATGCCTAGGATCCCACGTCTCAGGACCCCAAAATTGGAAAAAAAGCAATTTTACTATTGCAATTGTACATCATAATTTATAAATAATTCTATAGCTACAATTAAACATTATTAGTTTATAATAAAAAACAAATAACGACGATAAATAAATAACAAATGAAAATTATATAGAGGAGCCGCAGAAAGTCTTAACCCGTCACCGGTCGACACAAAATGTAAAATGCATTCTCTAATGCAGAAAGTAATATAAATATATTTTAGTTTGTAGACTCGCAGCTACAATCATTGCATCTCAACAGACATCAAAAAATCTTTTATTCCTGCTGTCAAATTATTGATAGAAGCGGAATGAAAACAGAAAGATATTCTAAAATTAGGAAGGATAGTTAATGGTAAGTTGAAATATTATTAATTATGAATACTCAATCTATAATATGTATTAAATTTCAGGAAGAGAAACATTATTACTTGAGAGGAATTTTCAAATTACATAAATAAAATAAAAGCTATTATCAGGCATGTCAGAAGACATGTCACCATTATATTATAAAGAAAGTAAATATTTGAAATATGTAATAAATTTATTTAAAAGTACAAATAAAAGTAAATGTATTTTTCAAGAAACAAAATTAATCCAGAATTGCAACTTACAATTTTGATCTTTGAGTCATCAAAAATTTAACTCTTGGGTATAATTTTTCTTTATCCATTTTCATACACAGAATAGAAAATTGATCTCAAGTGTTACTTTTGAGTAGTATATTATTATAAGTTATTTATTTCTGTTTATACAAACTAATGTCGAACATTTTTGTTCTTTATGATCTACATTTGATCCCGCATTTGAGACAATTCATCGGTACTCGCAATGCTACTGCCAAAAAATGTCGGGAAGCTCAATCGGTAACATCTCAAAGAAAATTTCCAATGATGCATGCTTTTTTTTTTAGCAGTTTCCAAGTATTTTTCAGACAAATCAATTTTAATATACTCCCATTGTGAAAAATTTTCAACCGGGTAATCTTTATTTTTTTAACAAAATAAATTTTGATTAAAATTTTGTTGCCTCCCTCTTTTGGAAAACTTTGTGGTGAGCACGTGGACAAACAATACAATGAACGTTGTCTACAATAAAAATTTTTTTTTATTGTTGGCTCGTGCAGTTTTACATATAAAAGATTCTTTAGGATCCCAACTCCAATAGATATAATTTCCGTAACATATACTTGTATTGGTACACAAGAGTGACACGGTTTTACACGACAATGTAAAATTTTAATTAACCTATCTTAACCTAACTTATATACTAATGAAGAAGTATAGAATGAAAGAGTTAATACTAAGAATAAGAGTAATAAGAACAGGACAAGAATGCTGATGGGGTACCCGTGTTTTCTTCCTTCCTTTATACTTCGCTAGTATCAAGGTAAAAACTTTCGTTGATTTTCCTTCCTTTCTTCTCTTCCGTTCTTTCTCTCTCTCAATGTTCTCACTTCACTCAGTCCTCTCCGGTTTCGATGACCAGGACTTCCTTCTCTACCTGTCTGTCTCCTTCGAACGCTAGCTTCAGAGTCCCCTCCCCTTTCTCTCACTTGTCTCGGGGCCTACTTCCACACCCTTGTTTTCCGTTGTAGTTCTCAGAAACGTTTTTACCACCAGCAGGGATGAAAGACCGTTAGAAAGTTCGAGAAAGTTCACAGACAAAAGACTTATGAAACTTAATATTAAGTTTAATACTAAAGACAAAATATATATATACATTTGGTGGATCACCACAACTTCATTTTGAATCCATCACAAAATCTTTTTGGCTCTCAATGTGGATTTAGTAAACAATAATACATGCCAACAAAAACTACAAAAGGGAGCCACTTACTTTTAAACCAATAATCACCCATTATTAGCTATCAAGTGTTAATTTTATTGTCTAGAAATTACTTATAAGGAAGTAATCTATATGAGTTTAACTTCTTCATAAATTCTTATATAATTGATTATAGTCTTTATAAAATTTTGATATGTTTGGATAGAAATAATTAGATTCTCATAAATTTAATTAACCAATATCATATTTAATTAAATACCACATCTTAGTCTTAAGATAAACACCCTTATCAGAATTTTCAAGATAAGCGCTTCCTAATCTTCCGTAAGAATAAATATATTTTAGTTAATACAAACATAATATTTTTGATTTTTGACCCGGAAACAAGGAATGTACTATTTTAAATAAGAACGACACATCTCGAGTTACTTATTAATGAACAAAAAATACATATCATACAATTATAAATTAAAATTGCATAAATGTCTTAAATCCTAGAATATATAAACTTTCATCTCATCATTGCGAAACAAGTTTATGTATAAAGTTACATAAATAATTTTTTAAAATAATCTAAACACAAATTCCTTCAGTAATTAGATTGGTTTTTTATGTATATTACTTCTTTTCTTAGCTTTTAATTAGCACACTTTCAATTTAATTTTGTACATTACATTTATTTATCAATAAATAAACCATAAGATATGTGAATAAATGCATACATTTATGTAAATTCTCCCAAAAAATATGAAGTTACGAATACAGTCGACCCCCCTATAACACTGTTGATTATTCCGTTTTATATGAATTCCATGTTGTACGAGTCACTTAGATTTTACAAATACGTGAGCCATTCGCAGCCCGGCACACCTATTTGTAAAATTTAAGTTACTCGTACAACATGGAATTCATATAAAACGGAATAATCAACAGTGTTATAGGGGGGTCGACTATATTTAAAACGTGCCTAAGCAATGCTTTGAACAATTTACTTGTTTTAGCGACCTTCAACTGAATTACACAATCGAATCGTACCTGAACACTGAAAAAATTAATAAACATTGCAGCTTTCATTTGTTAGAATTCTAAATTTGAATACACTTCCTGTTATTGCTAAATTCAAATAAAATATTTTTCCCGGTGTATTCGCACGCCTGCACACGGTCAGTACGCGTACAGTACTTTTCCACGTGTTTAACGTTACGTCACACACAATTTTTATCTAGTTGTTTAACATCTGTTTTATCATGTTTAGTCTGAACCGAAGTTCGGCACTCGCTCTCGTCACGGTATTTCGTTATTAAGTAACGAAATTCATTGCAAGACTAATTTCTCGTGTTCGTAAATGTATATCTTCGTAACTATTAACCCATAAGTACCTAACTAAGTGTGCCAGATAATAAGAGATCGGTCGTCAATATATGATTATCGGCGAGACCAAGAACAGTACGTAAACAGTAGTGTTAGGAAGATGTGTCCTTTCTTCTGTCTTACTTTAATCGCGGTGGCCGTCGTCGGATTTCTGATTTGGTTCGTGAAGAAAGCCGATGCCGATTTGACTTTACTTTTCTACGAAAAATACGGAAAATCTGTCGGTAAGTGAATACGTCCGCGGGGTAAAATAAATAATAACGGATGAACCTAGAGTAAAATTACTCGTTAAAATGTAATATTTATCTTTCTTTTTATTTAAAAAAATATTTGCGTAAACGGAAATTTAGACGCGCATTTATAGCTTGTTTACCTCTGTCGTGTAAACGACCTGGTTTATCGACATTGGGGCTCGTTGCGCCGCTCGTCAGTCGTTTGTGCTCGTTGCGCCTTCCTTCCATGTCTCCTCTCCTCTATACGTGACTCAAATGGTGTCTGTCGGGCTTCTTTGTCGAAATATCGGACATTTAAAGATTCCGCATAAATTCCAGATAGTCTCGTAAGTCCTGGAATGTCTGTCTTTTTTTTTTTTTTTTTTAACTCTTCTCTGCAGGCATTAATTAAGAGGATTTCTTTTAGCACGTCCATTATGTGTGTTATGGTAAGATCTGGCAACATCAGAGAGAGAGGGACGTGCAAGACAGACGGCCCTGACTAATGTATAAGAGTGGAGAGCGCCCGGTCCAAGTAGGACCCCGAATAAAGCATTCGGAGTAAGTGTCTGTATTCCTGTCTGGCGGGGGTCTTAAGTGCATCACAAAGGGCTTATAAACATTAAGTAAACCACATAAAACAATGTGTTCGGCCAGATCCAGCACTTAAAACTATGAAAAATGGTAAGGCAGCTGGAAATGATGGAATAGCATCTGAAATGGCAACATATGCTGGCAGAAAAACGTGGAAAATCTTGGTGAATATATATACAGAATGCCTAAGGTCGAGACGCATACCAGATCATTGGAACGGCGCGAATATAATATTTATCCATAAGAAGGGCAGCAAAGAGGACATTAAAAATTATAGAGCGATAAGTAGTGTTGCCACCTTTTCAGAATTGCTGACCTGGATGGCAGGTCAGGTTTGCTCGAACAGAAGTTCCTGACGCATGCGCAATGTCATTTTACAATGCAAAGAATAATGTGCTAGATAACTTAGTCCATAGACGTGTACGATCGTACGTGCAAAAGAAAAAAATAAAAAAAAAGGTCAACGGGTTGCGCGCTACATGTAAACAGACGAACATGGCAGAATTGCAGATGAATTTCAGTGAGTGTGAGTTCTTCCGTTGTTAAAATAGTGTAAATTTGTAAAAATATTTGCAAGAACTTTGTTTCGTCGTAATTTCACAATTTCTATGAAATTTCCGGACAAAATTAATAGTTCACCCGGACAGTGAGTCAATTCCCAAACTGTCTGGTGAAAACTGGACAGGTGGTAACACTACCCGATAAGTTTACTCCCAATTATATACAAAATATTTACAAAGATTAGAAAGCAACACTAAATCCGAAACCTGTTACTGGTGTAAATCATGCGAAAACCTTTCTTCACAAATGTTTTCAAACTTTTTAAAACAGAATACTAGAATAAGTGAGCACCAAGCGGACCTTCGACACGGGCGACGCACCACTGCCCTGGCACCTATGCCTCGGATCCGGACATCGAAGTGGAGTTTGACAAGGCCGACGTCATCATCACTACATCCCACCTAGAACATCTAAAATGGCTAGAAGCCATATCCATCTACAGGGCTAGTCACGGGACCACCTGCATGAACTGGAAAGATGAGCTTAATCTATCTGTAGCATGGCAGGCCCTTATAGACGGCATCCTTTAAATACCACCATCCATGCACAAGTATGCATGCCCATCACAATGGGTTTCATTAAACAAGCATTCGATTTTCTTTAAATCTGTACGTTCTATTTTTTGAAGCATTCCATTGGTTTTACCTGAGGAAGAACTGTTTTAAAAAGTTTGAAAACATTTGTGAAGAAAGGTTTTCTCACAATTTACACTGGTAACAGGTTCTGGATTTAGTGTTTATTTCACCCCCCTCCAGTGTTAAGGTGATGTTGAGTTCTGATTAGAAAGCACATTAGATGCTGCACAACCATGGAAATAGGCTGGCCTTAGAAATGGTTTCGGTATGACAGACCGTACACAAACACCCAGAATTATTAAGTTGTACCAATGAATATTGAATACTGCTGGCACTGGCCTTCGTCGACTTCAAAAAGGCTTTCGACTCTGTATGTCTTGGAGCATTAATAGAGGCTTTAACCGGCCAAGGCATTGACAAACCATACATAGAAACTCTAGCCAACATATATAGAGAAGCAAAAGCTAAAGTGAAAATATATGTTGATACTTCAGAATTTCCCACTACCAAAAGCATTCAACAAGAAGACTAAGCACTTCACAGCAACCCTAGAAAATATATTCTGTAAAATAGACTGGAAGAACAAAGGTATATCTATAGATGGAGAACACCTCAACCATCTAAGATTCGCTGATGATATCATTCTGATAGCTAAAGATCCTGCAGAACTATAAGAAGTAATAAGTGATTTAAACAAAGTTAGCAATTAAATTGGCCTTAAAATGAACTTGGCGAAAACAAAAATCACATACAATGAACTGGTAGACAATTAAGATGTAACAATAAATGATATCACACTAGAAACAGTAGATGAATATATATACCTGGAACAAATAGTAATTTGGGTGTTACTTGTGTTGCAACCAATTCAGGAGTTTACCCAATTGCCACCAGAGGGAGTCCAGAAGAATTTGGATCACGTTCGGGTCATCATCGTGGTGGTGTTTGCCAACAAAAGTTCAAGTTCACACTTGTCGAAATAGCTGCACACACAGAGACGATTTCTCTGGATTCCCTCTGGTGGCAATTGGGTAAACTTCCAAATTTGTTGCCACTTGTCTGGCTTACTACTTCCAGAAATCAACAGGAGGATCAAATTAGCATGGTCTACATTCCAACAATATTCTGTAGTTTTCATGTCTAGATTACCAATCCACCTGAAGAAAAGAGCATTTGATCAATGCGTACTACCAGTCATGACTTATGGATGTGAAACTTAGACACTAATGAAAGAAATAACAGCAAAGCTCAAAGTCACCCAAAGGTCAATGGAGTGATGCATGCTAGGAATAATCAAGAGAGATCACAAAAGAATAGAGTGGATTAGACAGAAAACCCAGGTAACTGATGTAATCCACAGAATTAAATCTCTCAAATGGCAATGGGCAGGATATCTGGCAAGAAGGGCTGACAACAGATGGTCCAGGAGAATTATGATGTGGTATCCACGGGGAATCAAAAGACCCAGAGGATGTCCAAACTTAAGATATGATTATGACATAAGGTAACAAGCAGGCACAACATGGTGGAGAGAAGCAAATGATAGGCAAACATGGGCACAAATGGAGGACAATTATATAAGGAAGGTTACACCATAATTAGAAATGGTAGAATAAGCTAAAGATGATGATGATGATGATGATAACATTTACATTCATATATTTTTATAAAATTGAAGACAAGTGAGAAATATAAAGTCTAAAATACATTTTTGAATATGAACCAGAAAATAAGGAATTTTTAATAAAATCCAAGATTTTGATGATCCTGTAAAAACAAACCTTTTTGTTTTTGGATTTCCTACCTTAGGGATGCCAAGAGGGATTTTTTTTTATGAGCCCATTGTGGGTTCGGTTAGGTTATGATGGCAAAGAACTTGGCCTGGCACATCTAGGACAGACTACTACTGAAAAGTTCCTAGGGTTTTTGACCACCCAGATTTGATCGCGGATCTCCCAGCATGGTAGGCCATGCCTTAACTGCCTCGGCTGTCCGGTCAACCGAATGGAATACTTTTTCCAAATGGTTTAGGAAATGTATTATTTAACTGTAGTGTTTGAAAGCGATTAAAGAAAAATTGTATCTAAAAGCAGATAATTATATGTTCTAAGCTTATATATTTAAGGGATTAGGTAAGTGATTATATATTTAAAGAGTTGGGAGAAAAATTTTGTTAAATTCTAAATTAAAGTTTCATTTTATAAATAATTAAACATTAAGATATTTATAGCAAAATAATAATTTTAAAATTATTCCAGATTCGTTGAAAGGCAAAGTGGTCTGGATCACCGGTGCTTCCAGCGGAATAGGACAGTCTGTGGCCAACAGTTTGGCTTCTGGCGGAGTGAAGTTGGCATTGTCTGGAACCAGCGAAGAAAGGCTACAAGAAACAAAAAATCAATGTTTAGGTGTTAATGCAGTTTTAAAATATTATGAGAAAGTTAATGCTTCTTCCATTTCTATGTAATCTATTGCTACTTGTCTAAATGCCATTGTTTCTACAACCTTGACTGTCCTTAAGTTGTAAATTGATGTTTAAATAAGGAAAATTTTTAAATTAAGTTAAGAACATAATCATTATCCTATAAGTTATAGAAATTATTCACATTGTGTCTTAGAAAATTTTCAAATTATAATCAATAAAAATAATTATAAAAATGGTAAAAATATATATGATTGACTATTTCTTCGACTTTTTAGTAACTGCATTATCATAAATTTTGTAGTCTTAAAGAAGTTTTTAATAAGATTTTGAATAAGGTTGTAAGGCAAAAATGTTGGGTAAATTATATTTTTTGTCCTTTAATTAAGCTTTGTTTTAACTGAATATTGCTTCAGACAGTAGCTTTTTTGTAAAATGCTACAGTTTCATTCGTTAAGTGATGCATATATCTGCCAATAAATGATAAACTCATAAATAAATATTTGAGAACAAGTGAATCATATATATATACTATTATATTAAGAAGTGTTTATCAAAGATTTGATGGATTTTTACAGTAGAAAATCAAAAGTTGTTTCCATAGGAAGGATGTAAGTCTACGTATCTTTATATTTCAGGAGATACATTACAATATTCATTTCAACATACTCTTTAGTTTTAATTTTCAAATTTAAAGGAATCAAATGAATTTTTATTAGAAATTTTATAACTTAAATTAATTTCCATTTTGTATTGTAGTTTTATATATTAATCCAAACTTTATTATTATTTTATGTAATAGCTTCTGGCAAACTGACAGAAGAAGATATTCTTTTAGTACCTTTCAATATAAGTGATTTTTCCATTCACGAAGACTGTGTAAAGAAAGTTCTCGATCATTTTGGAACCGTAAGCCACGTTACAATTAAATCTTAATGATAAAATTATTCCAAATTTTAATGTAAAAATAACCATTTATTCAGATCGACATTCTCATTAATAATGCCGGTCGTACGCAGAGAGCATCGTTTGAAGAAATTGAAATTCAGGTAGATCGAGACATGTTTGACATTAACGTTTTCGGTACGGTAAACTTAACGAGAAAAGTCCTACCTCATTTTCTTGCTAAAGGTCGCGGACACTTGGTCGTGACGAGCAGCGTTACGGGAAAATTAGGTAATTTTGCATGCATAATGTTTTATAAAACATTTATTCAAATAATTTTTTAAATCTGATAATTAACTTTTTAGGTGTTCCTTGGTCTGCTTCCTACACTGCTTCAAAGCATGCTTTACACGTAAGTGTGCTTACAGTGAAATGTTTAAATGTAATTTATTAAATTATAAAATCTTTCTCTATGAAACATTTTTATCTTTAATGGTGCATTTTTTTAATTTTTTCAAATAACATAAAATAAACAAGTTTTATTATTATTTATTTTTGCCAAAAATTACAGCATTTATTAAAGATACTTCAGTAATATTATTAATAAGTCTGTGCGTATAGAGTGATGAACATATATTTTATAGATTAAAAAATCAAACTTTGTAAGTGTTGTTTACAGTTAATTTACTGTTGGTGTAGTCAGTTGAGACTACACCAACTGTAAATTAAGTATGATTAATAACAATTAACTCTCATCAGTTAAGTGATTAAGAGATGGATTGAAATAGTGTTGGATTTGTGATTTGTAAAAATTATCATTATTACGTACTGTTTTTATTGCCGTCATAATTTTGCTTTCCTATTAGTAAGGAAAGTGTAAATTAAATATATTCTGACAGAGAATCTTAAAAAATTAAAAATTAGTCTAAAAATTTATATTTTTATCTAACAAAAAGTATAAATAAATACAGTACATAATCTGTTAACTAAAACCATAAAAATGCAATCATATGATCTGTACCAATTTTTTTAAGCTATACATATTGTATAAGATGAAATTATAATGAGTTAACATTGCTCAACTCTTTCATACATGTACTTCCATGCATGTGCCGCCATATTGCAGTCCTTAAAGTTAATACGATTGCCGGTTAGGCTGGCTTTATATATTTCCAATGCCTCCAGTTTCAAGTTTTTGTTGAAGTGCTGTTACTGGATAAAAGATTTCGCTTGTATTTAAAAATATATACTGCAATTTTGGTTGCTTTGGAACCGTGTTCCATATCTTTAATTCCATTTTAAAAAACATTCAGGAAATTTCCATTTTAAAAAACAATATTCAGGAAACAAGTTTTACAAATATAAGAAATGAATAAAGGTTGTTGAAAGTCATGTATCTTCTGAATACACTAAATTGTTCTTTCAAACAGAATATAATGTAGTGACACAGAAATATATCAGGACTAGCTTTTAGATAAATAAAGCTTACAATATCATTTTTCTCAAAATACATTTTATTGAAGAAGTGAATTCTAAATGCAGTGTTTTCTGCTGCAAAAAATATTGTGGCGATAGTGGTTCTGTAAGCGGCTATATTTTGAAGTTGAATTTATATGCAAGCTATAATGTTTTAAGTGCCAAAGTGTAAGTAAGTCACATGACATCTGGCACTGAAAACATCATGGTTTATGTTTACATCATTTTGGTATTCCAGAGAATTTGTAACCTAGTGATTTTTTTACCATTTTATAGCAAAATTGAAATGAATTCCTTCAAGTCTCGAAGGAATTCATTCATTAGAAAAAGTGTTTTTTTTTTCCTCTCTCCTGAAAAGTTTGTTTTTGGTATTTACACCATTACAGCATTGCACACTTCAAATATACACATTTTAGTTAATTTATTACATAAAATTGTGATTGTATTTTTGTATAAGACTTGTCTTTTTTTGTCAGTTTCATATTTTTTGTAAATAACAACCTGATACATTAGAATTTCCAAATGATCTGCTGAATTTTTATTGGCTAAATTATAATTAGTTTAATTATCTGAAATCAAAGAAATTTGGCTTAGAGGTAAGAGGTTAAACCACCATCTTTTAATAATAAATTTTAATAATTAGAAATAAATTTAATTTTTAATTTAAAGTTAGAATATTCTAGAAGAAAAGATTGACCCGGAATGGCACTCAAACCCACAACTCCCACTTGCCATATATTATCAAATTTATTAAAAGATGATGGCTTAACCACTTACTTCTAAGCCATATTGCTTTGTTTCCAATCATTAAGGTAGCCATAATATAGCCAGATAAAAATCTGGCAGATCATTTGGAAATTTATATTTTGTAAATGACAATGTATATTCTTATGATTTTTGTCTAAAGTTGATTGAAACTAGTGCAGGGAGTAAAAAGACAGCATTACAATTAAGGTAGTATATTCATTATGTCATTTTGCTACAGACAGTAGAGAAATTGATTTCAGTATTGTGTAATATGATGTGAACATCACTTTGATTCAAGGAAAACCATAATGAGATTGCCGAATGCTCAGACTCTACTTGGATGATTAGGGACATTATTGCAAATGCTACTTGTAATAATGGTTAATATAATTATACCAGTTTGAATGATACAAAGGACATATATTGACTTATTGAATATTCATCATTGTAATAATTATATTTTGCTAATATTTTTTAGTAATATACAAATTCTTCATAATATAATACACTATTTATTTATATACACCTAGCCCTCTTTTTGCACGGTGGATATGTTCCAAAGAACGCCGAGTAAAAAGTACAGTACAGTACATACATCCTGTAGAAAAATGCTTCATAGGATCCAAAACTTCAATGAAATGAAAAAATAAGCAATTTACAAAATAAACATAAGTCTTATTATACTAACATCATTTATCATTGACATTTATTTGTACGTAAATATAGTAAACACAAGATAGCATAAGAAATATAAAATCAACATACAGTATTCACTGAAGTACATACAGTGCTGTACTATGCTTAAAAAATATAAATGAACTATTGACTTTGAAACATGCAATTTTAAAGCCAGTCTTTCAACAGAGTAACTTTTTTAACAATAACACAATTCAAACAAAAAGTCAGTTTTAAAAATTTTCAAATAAAGTATTTTTTTCCCATGTAAAAAAAATTGATTGTGTAAAAAGAGGATTAGTTTTCTTTTGTCAACTGCATTATTTCAAAATCATGTAAAAATAGACTGTGTAAAAAGAGAGATAGGTGTAAGAAATATACATCTACTCTATATATAAAATACTTAGCTTAAAATTGTCACAATACTTTTTCTGTTATGAAGAAACAGAAAATTGCAGCACTGGGAATTGTGAATCATCACAAAATTTTTTATTGAATGAATGAAGTGAGAAGGGGACGAGCAAAGTGAAGAGATTGTGACCCAACAGAGCTCTAAAATGATGAGGGTGTGCCCAGAGAGAATGAGGCAAGGTTGTTGGCCTAAGGGGGAAAGCAAATGGTGGTTGGGTGAACAACACAAGTGGGAGTAGGGATTGGATCAAGAAGGGAATGAAGTGAGCAGAGGTGGGAGATTGAGTGAAGAGAGGAAAAGAAGGGGGATTGGCTCTCATGGAGATTTGTCACAAAATTTTCGTTATGGATAGTCTAACAGCACAAAACCTTTCTCACTAATTTCTAGCCTTATTAACTGGAGTACCTGTGCTGTTAGTCTTGCTGCTGTTTGTGCTGTTAGTCTTAGAAATAGTTCTAGCTACATATGCATAGTAGTTATGGATAGTGTATATTGGAAACAAGTGGGCCAAGCAAACCACATAATCATGTCAATGGAATGTTTTTCCAATTAATTTCAGTTTGAGGGTGTATTTTGAAAGAGATCCAAACTTAAATTATAAATTTTCATCTATAAACAAGCATTCACTATTATCAGGACTTATTATACTGGCTTAACAGACAATACAGTTTCACAGAAAACAATTTTTATTTAATATACAGGTATATTAAATAAAAATTGTTTTCTGTGAAATTCTGTATTGTCTGTTAAGCCAGTATAATAAGTTCTGATAATAGTAAATGCTTGTTTATAGACGAAAATTTATAATTTAGTAAGAAAAGGACATTGAAGCATTTTAATTAAGATCCAAACTTAGTTTACATTACAGAATCCTTACTCAGAATTAGACAAATGAACATAATATATATTATTGAATTTTTGTTATGAATAATGCATATTGGGAACAAGTGAGCAATGTGAACAGAGAGTTGGGAGTACAGTGATAGGCAGTCAGGGAGGTGAAGCCCCATTGCATATATAAATCCTATATCCTACAGAAGATAATTAAATATATCTTAAATGTTAAATAACTAAACTGTAAATTACATTATTTTAAAATTTTTAGAATATAACTTTTGAATATTATTGTGCTGTAAAATGGAATGTAGTGGTTTCTAACATTTTAAAGGGTTACTTTGAATGTTTACGAGCTGAATCGAGTAGCAGCGGTATTGACGTCACCATGATCTGTCCCGGACCCACATTTGCACAGACACTTTTGTCAAAAGCTTTCACTGGAAAAAGTGGAGAAGTATGCTTTTATGGGTATTTTAAAATTATAAAAGTTTACTTTTTGTTCTAATATTATTATTATTTTATTGCTAGACGTTTGGAGGACAACAGGAATCAAACGAGAAACGCATGCCCACCTCGCGATGTGCCCATTTGATTTCTGTGGCAATTGCCAACAGAGTCGATGAGGCCTGGATATCTTTGCAGCCAATCCTGTTTGTCTTTTATCTAGCACAATATACTCCCACATTTTTTAGAAGGTAAGACATTCTTAAAAGATACCAATAGTATTTATATATGCATAAACCATTAAATGTATTTTTTTAAATAGTTTCCTTGTGAAGAAATTTGTGACCAAAGAAAGAGCAGCTGCATGGAGAGAAGGACAATCTTAATTTGAGTGAAACAGCATCAGTTTTCTAATTATTAAGTTTAGAATATTATAGGGTTAAAGGTGGATTTGCAATGTGTTAATTACTCTGTTTTTTCTACAAGATTATGGTCTTTGATTCACTCATTTTTTATGAAAATAATTTTAATTTCATATCTATCAACTGTCAAAAATAACAATTATAATCAATGATTGTGGGTACCATGCATGGTTTGATTTTATAAATTAATTCGTCTTTTGCAAGTAATCAACAGTTACCCATAAACTTTAAACAAATTCTATGCATGATTTAACACATGCTAAAATGTTTGTATGAAAATGTTTTATAAAATAATGTATAAAACACTACAATAAATTTATATAATTAATATTTTATAGCCTAAAAAATGTTGTGATTTTTATCTCTGAAATTTATATTTGAAAATTGCCAGTTTTATTCAAATTTACTGAAATGTGCCTTATTTTTTTTGATATTAGAGATAATAAAATTTATTTAGAAAATTTTTGAATATATAATTTAATTAAAACCATTTCCATTTTTAAATTGATTCTTTGGGATTAAATTGAGTAGAATTTGTGGAATCATTTAAAGTATATAAAAAATTATGATTTTATAATTACTAAATGTATTAAAATGAGTTTATTTAAAGGATAAATTTAAAGGAGTTTATTTAATAAAAATGAGTTTATTTATTTAAATTACATTTATTAATGTAATTTGTTTACATTATTTGGAATACTGTAAACAAATTCCAAATAATTGGATGACTGAAATTTAGTTACAGAACAATCTGCAATACAGTCCCATCCATGTGCTAAATAGTTGTAAAGATAAAATAAATTAATTATATTTCAAATTAATTTTATGCAACAAATAGATATGTGATCATATATTCATGACCTTTCAAGCTATTGTTTCATTAGACCTTTTATTTCTTTAATATCAATAATATCTGTCCAAATTAATACCACCTAATTGTTCAATCTGTTGGTTTTTTGAACAAAAATGAATAAAATGCTCACTGTTCAGTTGCCTCACAATTTCTTGAAGAACCTCTATGACCTTCTATGAGCTAATTCCTAAATTCATCAATTTGCAAGCATTCCTATGTTAGCGAACAAAGCAAAAGAAAAGACAGTATATCCGGATAAGAGGTTGGAGAAACTATGCTATGGATTTTTGATCTTGATGAAACTTATTGTCTTGTAATTTTAAAATATTTCAGATGTACATATGAGCCAGATTAGTCCAACAACTGCTAAATATTCCTTCAAAATAACTCAGAAAAATCAGGCAATATTTAGCAATGCTAAAATGTCTACAGTTGGAAACGGTATCAATTAATGAAAGAATAAATGTCATACAAATGACATTTTTTCTTCTATTAATGTTTTTTAACTTTGTGTTATCAATGGTATATTGCAGGGGTGGGCAAGCAAGAGTTCAGTGGGAGCCAAAATGTAGGTTTTGCAAAATGCATGGGAGCCGCAGTTCTGTACTTTTTTATTCTGTACCGCAATTTTATTATATAATATAAATATAAAACAAATATTGAATTTTTTTAATAAACATATTTTCATCAAATTGTGAAAATAAAATTGCAAAAATAATAATAAAAAGCAGAAATGAAAACTTTCGACAAGAGCCGCACGTAACTCAAAAAGAGCCGCATTTGCCCACGCTGGGTATATTGAATAGAAAAATCAAATTATAAAATACTTAATTTTGTTTAACTAAATGTAGAAAATGAGCATTAATGCTAATATATTTATTTAAAAGAATTGTAATTTCAAATATAAATTTTTATGTAATTAAAATGAAAAATGGTACTTCTATTAAATTTTTTGTTTGTATTAATATTTTGTTTCAATAAAAGAGAATAGTAATTAAGAATTTAATAAAAATATTTGTTTATCAAATATACAAAAAACATTAATTTTAAATTTAATAATAATAATATGCAGAAGGAATTTTTAAACAGACAACTGATGAAGCAAAGGTTAAATTTGTGATTTAGCAAACGAGGACCAAGTCCTAACAAATAATTGAGGTGTATAGTTTGATTAGTGGATGAATTTGAAACCAACCTCCAATTTTCATCTCTGTTTTGTGTCTGGTTTAGAATTTATAACAATTATCATTGAAAACAGCAAAAAAATGAATAAGATTGTGCGCTTAGCCAACATTTCTAAAAGACAAACTTTGTCATTTTTGAAACTATATGCCTCAGTTTACATTTATTTCAAGTAATTAAATACTTGTGATAGAAAAAGACTACTAGAAATTTGATGAATATATGATTAAGAAAGATGAAAATGAATGGATAAGAGAGAATACAAAAATAAAAGATCTTGTGACAAAGATAAGAAAACAGAAGATGAACAGGACCCATTGGAAGAATGAAGGATAATGGATAGATAAAGTGAATAACAGAACAGATGACAAGAAAATGGAAGAGAGGAGATGATAAAACAGAAGAAAGTAAGCCCATAAAAGCTGAAATCGGGTAGTGGTTAATTATGATGAAATACATTCTGCTGCAAAATATAAATTCACAAAAAAGCATTATATAACTGACATAGCTTTGTTTTGATTTTTAGTTTTATAATTACAAAATATTCTATTTAATTTGGATATTTATGTAATCAGTTATAGCAGTTTCTTCCATGTTATAAATTTCCACACTAAAAATTATCTAAGAATTAACAATATTTTAGTGGGGTTCAACTGACCAAAGAACTAAAATATTATTTTTGATATCGCAGAAAGATTCAAAGGTTAATTGTTACGGACACGACATTTGAAACTGTTTTGATTTGTTTTTGTAATTTACCATTAATAATTGGTAGCTTCTGCAACATTCTTAAAGATGTTTGACTGCTCGAATATTTGATATATTTATATATTTTATAAAAATATAACTGCTAATGTATATGTAATTAAAATTTGCATATAAGAATATTTTCAATATATCAATTACTTTGTTTTAAATAAAAATGTCTTGTGAAAATAAATATGGAATGATAATTTATTACAACAAAAAATTTGTCTCGAACCAATTATGCTTCTACGTTATCGTCAAAATAAGAAGGTTTTCTTAAATAAAAGTGCTTGAAGTCGACACCCAGTCTCTCTAAGTCTTCGTAATCTTTGATAACATTTTTGGGAAGATAACCGAGAAGTTTTGTTCCCGTCTCTTCTAGCATGCGTCGTCTTTCTTTCTCGATAATTTCTCGACGTAATTTTTCCATTTCTTGCTCCTTAATATATACTTGCATATCGTATATTTTATCCTTCATTTTCTTTTGCTTCTCTTCTTCTATCATTTGTTGTATTATGCGTTTATGTTCGAGTTGTTTCAATCGCCTTTTTCTATCGTTCATTAGCTCCAGTTTGTCTTCTTCGGCGAGTTTTATCATCATCTGTTCTGCGAAAAGCCGTTCTTCCAGTTTCTCACTTTCGAGTTTCTCGGCTTTTAATCTCAATTCCGTAGCTTCCGCCTTCTGCAATTCTAAGCGCGTCCTCAACTTTCTTTCTGCGTCGATCAGATCCGTCTTCTTTTCTAGTGCGGCTCTTTCTTCGATCGACAACCGTTCTCTTAATTCATTTTCGTAATTTCTAATTCGATAATGCTCTTCCAAAAGTTCATTTAATTTACCTTTGACTCTTTCTCTAACTTCTAATTTATACTTTTTCAATTCTTCTAGTTGTTTTTCTCGCAAATCTTTGATAATTAAATAATTTTCAATATTTTCTTCTTCTAATTCTAACTGTTTCTTTTCTTCCTCTTTACTTTTCTGTTTCACTTCTTTAAAGTTTTTAATACATTCCCACATTTCTTTCTTTTTCTCCAATTTCTTCTGAACTTCTGCAATCTCCTCGTCGATTACCTTCTTAACAATATTATCGATAAGCGCCTTCTCTTGTAAAATTTGCAGGTACGACTCGAATCTACTTTGTTCCTTCCGTTCCAACTGCTCGTCTAATTCGCTACGATAGTTCCTCTTGTGGGTTAACTCGTCCAGTTCTTTCTTCGCCTCTTCTTCTTCGAATTTTTTATGCCGTTCTTCGATACGTCTTCCTTCGAGAACCTTCTCCGCCGCCTCTTCTGCCTTCGTTCTTTCTTTATCGGCAAACTGGTCGAACCTAACCATCGTCACGTATGCGGTTCTCAGTTTAGACTCCAATTCTCTCAACTCTGGAGAATTTAATCTCAACAACTGCCGCAGTTTCTCTTCTCTCAAACGATTTAATTCTTTTTGTCGGATTTCTTCGGCCGTTCTTTCTTCCTCAATTTTTTCCACTCTCAGCCACTCTTTCCTTTTCTCTTCGTCAATCAGCGATCGATGATATTCTTGTTGCCTTTTGCCTTGGTGCAGCTGTCTGTTAATTAATTTAGCATCAAAATGCTCTTCAACGTTCCTCATATAGTTAATTAAACCTTTCTCGTAATCTAATTTCTTAGCCAACGATCTAATTTCGTGCTTTTTGTCTTGTTTCTTCAACCAATTTTCCATTTTTTTTTTAAAGAAAAATTCCAAAAATAAACAAAAGCCAACGTCAACGTTCGCTTCTATCGGAACGAGTGCACGTTTCTTTGTGTACAAAAATCGATGGATTTATTATTTATTAATTTTTAAAATTATTTGCTAAATAATGCATCGATTATTCTACCTTATTTCTTTAAGATTTCGTACTTATAAAAAATAATTTTTTTTAAATGTAATAAAAAAAATTTCTCTCGGATATCGAAAAATAATTAAATTTTTTTAGAAAACGTAAAAATTATTCGGCACTTTTAAATTTAATATTTCATAAATAAATTTTTAAGTAAAAATATTTAATTTAAAAAGAAAAAATTGTGACGAAAAAACATTTTATTTATACATTTTTACAATTACTTCAGGTGGCGCCGCTAGCGAGAACGAGTCGTCGTTACTTACGATTACAGTACTTTAGAGTATTATAGTATACATATAATGGTAAGATTTTTTCTTTCCTTTTTAAACTGGCAGAAATATAAATTAACAGTAGCACAAAATGTCGATTAATTTAAGAATAAAGCTTAAAATTTGTAGCGGAATCCAGTTTTAGCCTGCGAAACGTCGCCAGCTCCGTAATATATTTGCCGACTCATTGTAGCTAGGCCTAGTTGTCATTGGTTAACACGGGTTAAATGTTCCGCGTTGTAATAAGGGTTAACGTAGCCATTTAACTGTTTTAAGAAAAAATAAAAAAGGATTACAATAATTATTTTCGTTTATTTATGTTGTTTTCTATCCTTACGGTAAGATTCGAGCTCGGAATAAGGGGTTTCGCACTTCAGAAATTGTAGACCATCAATACGGACCCCAAAGGAACCATATCCGTACTGTACCGGTACATGCAACCATTGGTAAGATTGCAGATGTGAATGACGCTGTTGGCATTTTCACCCGTCTGTAGAGTGTAGTAGTAGTTACCTCGATGTTAGCCTTTGCCGGGTACAGCCTCCCGAAATCTGCCTAAAATAAGGTGACCAGATTTTAACATTGGTGAAGCGGGACAAAATTGATGGGAGGAGTGGTTGTCTTGTTGAAAAAAACTGTGCTAGAGCAACAAAATTTTATTATCAAAGAATGCGAAAATTGTATTATATTTTTTAAATTTCAACATATGTAAAATTTACAAATATAATAAGTTTATATAAGCTTACTATTTAAATCTTTAAAAATTATTATAAATCTTTAAAAACTCTATTCTTTCACATATTTCTCAATTGAGTGAATTTTTGTAGTAGATTGCTGCTGCTGTTTAAAATGTCATAAAATTTTTTGCAAGAATTTGTTAAATTATATTTCACGCATAATATGGCTTTCAAAGTTTCGACACTTAATTGTGATTTATCAGATCTCCACACTTTATTTACGGTAGAAAAAATGCGTTCGTGTGACACGCAACGAACAAAATGTTCGCTCGTTTGAATAGCTCGTGAACACGCTCTGCTCCGTTGTTGCAGCTGCGTGCTCCAAACTGCTTTCTGTCGGTCGGTGCAGCATTCTTTATTTCTGATGCTCACGCACACCTTGGTACTGATAGGCTTGATACAAAATGATCTTTACAAATCTTAAACGTAAGATGTGAGTTTATGACACATAATTGACAAAAACTTAATCTTTCCAAAACTCGGGACTTGTTAAAATGCTGTGGTACATGAGACAAATTGTTAAAAATTGGGATTGTCCTGCCAAAAGTGGGACGTCTGGTCACCTTAATTTAAAGCCTACTTCCGGGCACTATGGGCAGTCGCGCTGCGTGCTCCACTAAGTCTATCTCACATTTAACAGTTGGTATGGCACGGTGATCGGACATTATTATCTGTATTTATTGGCAAAGATAAGAGAAAAGTCTGATGGCTGACCCTTTGTAAGATATTCGTCTCCAAATGTGGAACCTGATGCCGGCGGTTCCGGTCGCTGTCATGCTTCTGAGCAAGTTATGCTATAGGCGTGGTTGTCACTACCTATAACAAATAATTATTGCATTGACTTCTGCTGACCAAAAACAGTTTTTATCTTGAACTNTTATAAATTTTCATCTATAAACAAGCATTCACTATTATCAGGACTTATTATACTGGCTTAACAGACAATACAGTTTCACAGAAAACAATTTTTATTTAATATACAGGTATATTAAATAAAAATTGTTTTCTGTGAAATTCTGTATTGTCTGTTAAGCCAGTATAATAAGTTCTGATAATAGTAAATGCTTGTTTATAGACGAAAATTTATAATTTAGTAAGAAAAGGACATTGAAGCATTTTAATTAAGATCCAAACTTAGTTTACATTACAGAATCCTTACTCAGAATTAGACAAATGAACATAATATATATTATTGAATTTTTGTTATGAATAATGCATATTGGGAACAAGTGAGCAATGTGAACAGAGAGTTGGGAGTACAGTGATAGGCAGTCAGGGAGGTGAAGCCCCATTGCATATATAAATCCTATATCCTACAGAAGATAATTAAATATATCTTAAATGTTAAATAACTAAACTGTAAATTACATTATTTTAAAATTTTTAGAATATAACTTTTGAATATTATTGTGCTGTAAAATGGAATGTAGTGGTTTCTAACATTTTAAAGGGTTACTTTGAATGTTTACGAGCTGAATCGAGTAGCAGCGGTATTGACGTCACCATGATCTGTCCCGGACCCACATTTGCACAGACACTTTTGTCAAAAGCTTTCACTGGAAAAAGTGGAGAAGTATGCTTTTATGGGTATTTTAAAATTATAAAAGTTTACTTTTTGTTCTAATATTATTATTATTTTATTGCTAGACGTTTGGAGGACAACAGGAATCAAACGAGAAACGCATGCCCACCTCGCGATGTGCCCATTTGATTTCTGTGGCAATTGCCAACAGAGTCGATGAGGCCTGGATATCTTTGCAGCCAATCCTGTTTGTCTTTTATCTAGCACAATATACTCCCACATTTTTTAGAAGGTAAGACATTCTTAAAAGATACCAATAGTATTTATATATGCATAAACCATTAAATGTATTTTTTTAAATAGTTTCCTTGTGAAGAAATTTGTGACCAAAGAAAGAGCAGCTGCATGGAGAGAAGGACAATCTTAATTTGAGTGAAACAGCATCAGTTTTCTAATTATTAAGTTTAGAATATTATAGGGTTAAAGGTGGATTTGCAATGTGTTAATTACTCTGTTTTTTCTACAAGATTATGGTCTTTGATTCACTCATTTTTTATGAAAATAATTTTAATTTCATATCTATCAACTGTCAAAAATAACAATTATAATCAATGATTGTGGGTACCATGCATGGTTTGATTTTATAAATTAATTCGTCTTTTGCAAGTAATCAACAGTTACCCATAAACTTTAAACAAATTCTATGCATGATTTAACACATGCTAAAATGTTTGTATGAAAATGTTTTATAAAATAATGTATAAAACACTACAATAAATTTATATAATTAATATTTTATAGCCTAAAAAATGTTGTGATTTTTATCTCTGAAATTTATATTTGAAAATTGCCAGTTTTATTCAAATTTACTGAAATGTGCCTTATTTTTTTTGATATTAGAGATAATAAAATTTATTTAGAAAATTTTTGAATATATAATTTAATTAAAACCATTTCCATTTTTAAATTGATTCTTTGGGATTAAATTGAGTAGAATTTGTGGAATCATTTAAAGTATATAAAAAATTATGATTTTATAATTACTAAATGTATTAAAATGAGTTTATTTAAAGGATAAATTTAAAGGAGTTTATTTAATAAAAATGAGTTTATTTATTTAAATTACATTTATTAATGTAATTTGTTTACATTATTTGGAATACTGTAAACAAATTCCAAATAATTGGATGACTGAAATTTAGTTACAGAACAATCTGCAATACAGTCCCATCCATGTGCTAAATAGTTGTAAAGATAAAATAAATTAATTATATTTCAAATTAATTTTATGCAACAAATAGATATGTGATCATATATTCATGACCTTTCAAGCTATTGTTTCATTAGACCTTTTATTTCTTTAATATCAATAATATCTGTCCAAATTAATACCACCTAATTGTTCAATCTGTTGGTTTTTTGAACAAAAATGAATAAAATGCTCACTGTTCAGTTGCCTCACAATTTCTTGAAGAACCTCTATGACCTTCTATGAGCTAATTCCTAAATTCATCAATTTGCAAGCATTCCTATGTTAGCGAACAAAGCAAAAGAAAAGACAGTATATCCGGATAAGAGGTTGGAGAAACTATGCTATGGATTTTTGATCTTGATGAAACTTATTGTCTTGTAATTTTAAAATATTTCAGATGTACATATGAGCCAGATTAGTCCAACAACTGCTAAATATTCCTTCAAAATAACTCAGAAAAATCAGGCAATATTTAGCAATGCTAAAATGTCTACAGTTGGAAACGGTATCAATTAATGAAAGAATAAATGTCATACAAATGACATTTTTTCTTCTATTAATGTTTTTTAACTTTGTGTTATCAATGGTATATTGCAGGGGTGGGCAAGCAAGAGTTCAGTGGGAGCCAAAATGTAGGTTTTGCAAAATGCATGGGAGCCGCAGTTCTGTACTTTTTTATTCTGTACCGCAATTTTATTATATAATATAAATATAAAACAAATATTGAATTTTTTTAATAAACATATTTTCATCAAATTGTGAAAATAAAATTGCAAAAATAATAATAAAAAGCAGAAATGAAAACTTTCGACAAGAGCCGCACGTAACTCAAAAAGAGCCGCATTTGCCCACGCTGGGTATATTGAATAGAAAAATCAAATTATAAAATACTTAATTTTGTTTAACTAAATGTAGAAAATGAGCATTAATGCTAATATATTTATTTAAAAGAATTGTAATTTCAAATATAAATTTTTATGTAATTAAAATGAAAAATGGTACTTCTATTAAATTTTTTGTTTGTATTAATATTTTGTTTCAATAAAAGAGAATAGTAATTAAGAATTTAATAAAAATATTTGTTTATCAAATATACAAAAAACATTAATTTTAAATTTAATAATAATAATATGCAGAAGGAATTTTTAAACAGACAACTGATGAAGCAAAGGTTAAATTTGTGATTTAGCAAACGAGGACCAAGTCCTAACAAATAATTGAGGTGTATAGTTTGATTAGTGGATGAATTTGAAACCAACCTCCAATTTTCATCTCTGTTTTGTGTCTGGTTTAGAATTTATAACAATTATCATTGAAAACAGCAAAAAAATGAATAAGATTGTGCGCTTAGCCAACATTTCTAAAAGACAAACTTTGTCATTTTTGAAACTATATGCCTCAGTTTACATTTATTTCAAGTAATTAAATACTTGTGATAGAAAAAGACTACTAGAAATTTGATGAATATATGATTAAGAAAGATGAAAATGAATGGATAAGAGAGAATACAAAAATAAAAGATCTTGTGACAAAGATAAGAAAACAGAAGATGAACAGGACCCATTGGAAGAATGAAGGATAATGGATAGATAAAGTGAATAACAGAACAGATGACAAGAAAATGGAAGAGAGGAGATGATAAAACAGAAGAAAGTAAGCCCATAAAAGCTGAAATCGGGTAGTGGTTAATTATGATGAAATACATTCTGCTGCAAAATATAAATTCACAAAAAAGCATTATATAACTGACATAGCTTTGTTTTGATTTTTAGTTTTATAATTACAAAATATTCTATTTAATTTGGATATTTATGTAATCAGTTATAGCAGTTTCTTCCATGTTATAAATTTCCACACTAAAAATTATCTAAGAATTAACAATATTTTAGTGGGGTTCAACTGACCAAAGAACTAAAATATTATTTTTGATATCGCAGAAAGATTCAAAGGTTAATTGTTACGGACACGACATTTGAAACTGTTTTGATTTGTTTTTGTAATTTACCATTAATAATTGGTAGCTTCTGCAACATTCTTAAAGATGTTTGACTGCTCGAATATTTGATATATTTATATATTTTATAAAAATATAACTGCTAATGTATATGTAATTAAAATTTGCATATAAGAATATTTTCAATATATCAATTACTTTGTTTTAAATAAAAATGTCTTGTGAAAATAAATATGGAATGATAATTTATTACAACAAAAAATTTGTCTCGAACCAATTATGCTTCTACGTTATCGTCAAAATAAGAAGGTTTTCTTAAATAAAAGTGCTTGAAGTCGACACCCAGTCTCTCTAAGTCTTCGTAATCTTTGATAACATTTTTGGGAAGATAACCGAGAAGTTTTGTTCCCGTCTCTTCTAGCATGCGTCGTCTTTCTTTCTCGATAATTTCTCGACGTAATTTTTCCATTTCTTGCTCCTTAATATATACTTGCATATCGTATATTTTATCCTTCATTTTCTTTTGCTTCTCTTCTTCTATCATTTGTTGTATTATGCGTTTATGTTCGAGTTGTTTCAATCGCCTTTTTCTATCGTTCATTAGCTCCAGTTTGTCTTCTTCGGCGAGTTTTATCATCATCTGTTCTGCGAAAAGCCGTTCTTCCAGTTTCTCACTTTCGAGTTTCTCGGCTTTTAATCTCAATTCCGTAGCTTCCGCCTTCTGCAATTCTAAGCGCGTCCTCAACTTTCTTTCTGCGTCGATCAGATCCGTCTTCTTTTCTAGTGCGGCTCTTTCTTCGATCGACAACCGTTCTCTTAATTCATTTTCGTAATTTCTAATTCGATAATGCTCTTCCAAAAGTTCATTTAATTTACCTTTGACTCTTTCTCTAACTTCTAATTTATACTTTTTCAATTCTTCTAGTTGTTTTTCTCGCAAATCTTTGATAATTAAATAATTTTCAATATTTTCTTCTTCTAATTCTAACTGTTTCTTTTCTTCCTCTTTACTTTTCTGTTTCACTTCTTTAAAGTTTTTAATACATTCCCACATTTCTTTCTTTTTCTCCAATTTCTTCTGAACTTCTGCAATCTCCTCGTCGATTACCTTCTTAACAATATTATCGATAAGCGCCTTCTCTTGTAAAATTTGCAGGTACGACTCGAATCTACTTTGTTCCTTCCGTTCCAACTGCTCGTCTAATTCGCTACGATAGTTCCTCTTGTGGGTTAACTCGTCCAGTTCTTTCTTCGCCTCTTCTTCTTCGAATTTTTTATGCCGTTCTTCGATACGTCTTCCTTCGAGAACCTTCTCCGCCGCCTCTTCTGCCTTCGTTCTTTCTTTATCGGCAAACTGGTCGAACCTAACCATCGTCACGTATGCGGTTCTCAGTTTAGACTCCAATTCTCTCAACTCTGGAGAATTTAATCTCAACAACTGCCGCAGTTTCTCTTCTCTCAAACGATTTAATTCTTTTTGTCGGATTTCTTCGGCCGTTCTTTCTTCCTCAATTTTTTCCACTCTCAGCCACTCTTTCCTTTTCTCTTCGTCAATCAGCGATCGATGATATTCTTGTTGCCTTTTGCCTTGGTGCAGCTGTCTGTTAATTAATTTAGCATCAAAATGCTCTTCAACGTTCCTCATATAGTTAATTAAACCTTTCTCGTAATCTAATTTCTTAGCCAACGATCTAATTTCGTGCTTTTTGTCTTGTTTCTTCAACCAATTTTCCATTTTTTTTTTTAAAGAAAAATTCCAAAAATAAACAAAAGCCAACGTCAACGTTCGCTTCTATCGGAACGAGTGCACGTTTCTTTGTGTACAAAAATCGATGGATTTATTATTTATTAATTTTTAAAATTATTTGCTAAATAATGCATCGATTATTCTACCTTATTTCTTTAAGATTTCGTACTTATAAAAAATAATTTTTTTTAAATGTAATAAAAAAAATTTCTCTCGGATATCGAAAAATAATTAAATTTTTTTAGAAAACGTAAAAATTATTCGGCACTTTTAAATTTAATATTTCATAAATAAATTTTTAAGTAAAAATATTTAATTTAAAAAGAAAAAATTGTGACGAAAAAACATTTTATTTATACATTTTTACAATTACTTCAGGTGGCGCCGCTAGCGAGAACGAGTCGTCGTTACTTACGATTACAGTACTTTAGAGTATTATAGTATACATATAATGGTAAGATTTTTTCTTTCCTTTTTAAACTGGCAGAAATATAAATTAACAGTAGCACAAAATGTCGATTAATTTAAGAATAAAGCTTAAAATTTGTAGCGGAATCCAGTTTTAGCCTGCGAAACGTCGCCAGCTCCGTAATATATTTGCCGACTCATTGTAGCTAGGCCTAGTTGTCATTGGTTAACACGGGTTAAATGTTCCGCGTTGTAATAAGGGTTAACGTAGCCATTTAACTGTTTTAAGAAAAAATAAAAAAGGATTACAATAATTATTTTCGTTTATTTATGTTGTTTTCTATCCTTACGGTAAGATTCGAGCTCGGAATAAGGGGTTTCGCACTTCAGAAATTGTAGACCATCAATACGGACCCCAAAGGAACCATATCCGTACTGTACCGGTACATGCAACCATTGGTAAGATTGCAGATGTGAATGACGCTGTTGGCATTTTCACCCGTCTGTAGAGTGTAGTAGTAGTTACCTCGATGTTAGCCTTTGCCGGGTACAGCCTCCCGAAATCTGCCTAAAATAAGGTGACCAGATTTTAACATTGGTGAAGCGGGACAAAATTGATGGGAGGAGTGGTTGTCTTGTTGAAAAAAACTGTGCTAGAGCAACAAAATTTTATTATCAAAGAATGCGAAAATTGTATTATATTTTTTAAATTTCAACATATGTAAAATTTACAAATATAATAAGTTTATATAAGCTTACTATTTAAATCTTTAAAAATTATTATAAATCTTTAAAAACTCTATTCTTTCACATATTTCTCAATTGAGTGAATTTTTGTAGTAGATTGCTGCTGCTGTTTAAAATGTCATAAAATTTTTTGCAAGAATTTGTTAAATTATATTTCACGCATAATATGGCTTTCAAAGTTTCGACACTTAATTGTGATTTATCAGATCTCCACACTTTATTTACGGTAGAAAAAATGCGTTCGTGTGACACGCAACGAACAAAATGTTCGCTCGTTTGAATAGCTCGTGAACACGCTCTGCTCCGTTGTTGCAGCTGCGTGCTCCAAACTGCTTTCTGTCGGTCGGTGCAGCATTCTTTATTTCTGATGCTCACGCACACCTTGGTACTGATAGGCTTGATACAAAATGATCTTTACAAATCTTAAACGTAAGATGTGAGTTTATGACACATAATTGACAAAAACTTAATCTTTCCAAAACTCGGGACTTGTTAAAATGCTGTGGTACATGAGACAAATTGTTAAAAATTGGGATTGTCCTGCCAAAAGTGGGACGTCTGGTCACCTTAATTTAAAGCCTACTTCCGGGCACTATGGGCAGTCGCGCTGCGTGCTCCACTAAGTCTATCTCACATTTAACAGTTGGTATGGCACGGTGATCGGACATTATTATCTGTATTTATTGGCAAAGATAAGAGAAAAGTCTGATGGCTGACCCTTTGTAAGATATTCGTCTCCAAATGTGGAACCTGATGCCGGCGGTTCCGGTCGCTGTCATGCTTCTGAGCAAGTTATGCTATAGGCGTGGTTGTCACTACCTATAACAAATAATTATTGCATTGACTTCTGCTGACCAAAAACAGTTTTTATCTTGAACTGGTACTATTGACTATTCTTCGTGCTCTATGTTGTCAACACTTGCCTTGATTGGCACGTCACGTGTAATTTTGTGTTTTGGTGCAGGCAATAGTGAGCACCTTGATGCCCACATGGAACAAGCTCTCGTGCCCTCAAAATTATATAATGTCGAGTGGGCTACTCGAAGCCGGTTTGGTCGCCTGGGATAAATAGTTAAATGCAATGGTTTTGGCGAGCAACACAACCTTGTGATCTTGCAGACCTGATTTCGAGAGGCTGTATCTTGCAAAGGGTTGCTTATAGAGGCATAGTTCATTTGACTTCTTTGCTCCTATGGCTCTCATAAGATCCCGACTGTCTCGTTTGGAGCTTGAATTGTATTGCTTGGGATACTTTGGGGATTAAGCCAGATGATTTGGGATCAGCATATTTCTTCTGGTCTCTAGATGTTTGGGATTCAAAATTATCTGAAAGGTACTGTACTTATGCTTGCTGACTTTAGGTTATGGATGGGGTCGATTTTGGAACGAGTGGGTCGAGAGATTAAAAAAAAATTCATAGAAAAATTATGGACAGAATTGGTGGCATTTTGAAGTGTTTATTTGGTCTTTGTTGTCTTTGTTGCAATAGTAGGTTTATGATATTGGCTTTTCCTAATTTGTAGAAAATAGAAAATAGATTACTGGCAGTATAAAGTAGAATACAGAGTAATAGTGCATCTGTACATAATAAATGTTACATAAAAAGTTAATTATCTGTAAAAGAAATTACAAAACTACTTCTTATGACCTAAGGCCTAAAGAAGGTAATTTTGGCATGTGATTTGGATTTATAAAATCTTTCACATTGAATGAAATAAATTAAAAATATGAATAAATAATTGCTCGTGTTATCTGTAAAAAGTGAGATTTTTAGCTTGGGTTAAGAGACTACAATGGTTTCCGAGGGTAGTTCCTCAATCTGAAAAGTAAATGGTTGGCAACTTTGGTTTTTGTATTAGAAAGTCTTTATGGACTATCAAATATCAAAATTGTATTGCATTTTTGTGTGTGAAATACAGCTAAAAAGGTAAAAAAAAAAAACACAAAAGGCTTTGTTTTGGGTTAGGAACACATTAATTCATTTTATATTGTTTCTTATGGGAAAATTTATTTTGATTTAGAACAGATCAGTTTTTGAACAACTATTAAGAACAAATTAAGTTCAAACACCAATGTTTGACTGTACTAAGAACTTTTTAAATTTGTATCTTTGACATGTATGTGAAAGATACAAAGTTTTAATGAATGACAAAATATTTTTGGTCATATTGCTTCATTTGTGTAATACTAAAATATAAAAAAAGCTTTTAGTTCAAATTGACTACTTTCACTAACATAAATAGCAAATGTGAAAACATGTACAAAAAACAAACTATTACAGACTCAGCTACCAAAAATATACACCAGACAGTCTTAAAAAACTGCACACAAAACTCCATGATTATGACCATATCATAATCACAGTCAAAACAATCCATTGTAACAAACACGGAAGATTCATTGACAAACAAAAAAAATTATGTATAGTACATTATAGACATAGCTAGGGGTGATGAAATTCTGTGGATTAAAACTTCGGTGTTGGTAGTGAAAATTTACTCTTACGTACGGCCAATTTGTTGTTGATTGCATTTTTGTTTATGTACTTTGATTGCAATATGCAAGGATCTGCAAAAATTCAGTTTAAATTGCACTGTATTGTAGGGTCACTGCAGTGACCAGAAGTAAACTTGTGTGAATCAAGTTGCTTTATATGCTTCTGACAAAATATGACTTCAAGATTATTTCGACAGCTGGCCATTCTCTCTGGTTAATTATGACTATACAAAATGAAGATGACGTATCTAACTGAAACATTTATCTCCACATATTTTGTATCTCCGTGCAAATCTTAGTTTGAGTTATCCATCAGCATGAAGATATTGAATTTAGAGATATGGTAATGATTGATATGTTTGTGACTTCTTTGTTAATACAAGGAAAACAGAATTTAAGATGATGTATTTTTAAACAGAAAAAAATTTCATGATGGTTGTCCTTTTGAGATATTTTAATTTATTGTGCATATTTACATTTATATGGGAAACTTTTAAAAAAATGAAGCCAATTAGCATTTTGAAAATTTTCATTTATTGTTTTCATTATATACTTGTGTGCGCATAATATTTTTGCACGAAATTTGACGTAGGATTGACATGGTGGGACAGAAACCTATTGGAAGTCAACGCTATCTGTAATATATGATAAGTACGTGAAAACCGATCATTAAATTTCTAATTTCAATAACAATTAATGTGTTTTTTTCTATCTCAAATAAATGCAGATTATTTGGAGCCAGACATTGACTTTTTTTAGTCTGATAAAAATAGATATTTGTGTATAGTTAATTAAATTTCTCTCTATTTTTAAATTATGCTAAATTTATAAAGAAAGAAATTTAAACTTTGTTTATATAATTGAAAAGCATACAATAACGTTTACTGCATTTAACAGATTAATGTTTGTTAATTATCATAAATGACATAATTTTAAAGGAATATTTAATACAAAAATATTAAAATTTACAATATAATTATAAAATTAAAATATATTTAGGCCTCCAGTTAATAAAGAAACTATATTCATAATTTTTATTAAATGTATAGGGACAGAATCAATCGTCTGGAGGAGGACCCGGTGGAGGAGGATCGGGGAGTGATAAAAAGGATGATAAGGTATATTTCTTTGTTAAATTAATGTAAAATTATCCTTTTAAAATAGCTTTCATTTATAATATCTTAATATAAAATGCTTTATAAATAGTCATGGTAAATATTTTAAAATTTTTGTGATATTTTAAAAACATAGAAAATAGCAAATGAAGTAAATTTATTAGATAATGGAATGAAGAAATTCCAAAAACATTTTTTAATTTGGAAATTGACTTTTAATATTTATTAATACAGAAGAAAAGAAAATATGAACCTCCGGTTCCTACTCGTGTTGGAAAGAAGAAACGAAGGCAGAAGGGTCCGGAAGCTGCTAGCAAATTGCCTCAAGGTTTGAATTCTAGAATTTTTGTACTTCATATACAATGTGAATATGCTGTGTTTTTTTAACTCCAAAATTGTGATGCTTATTAGATTCAGGTACAAAGTTGACTTAATGGAGTCTTGTTTGTGTCATTTGCTCCACACATTGCTTGTCAATTTATACATATGTGAGATAAGCAGGGGGTCAGGGGTTAATCCATTCTGACCACTTAATCTGCACAGGCTGGTAAAACCCGATCTTGAGGTTGTTGGATGGCTAGGAGGGCAAATCGAGTGGGGAGTGCGTTGGTAAGTCAGCAGAGGTCCATGGACAAATGAAAGACAGGTTTTAACATAACAAAATGTAAAATTTATTATAAACTAAATCTAGAAGATACAGATCTATAAATGGATAAATGCGATTACAAACTGAAGTGAATAAAGGCAGTTATGAATGTGAACAATAAATTCTTACGAAACATGTGCTTGACCCAATTTCCCTATTCTAATGCACTTTATGTGGAGAGCGAGTTTACAAGTTTCATCCCCCTTTTAAATACCTCTCAGGCATATTGGAGAGTCGATGTGGAGAACTTCATTCATATGGATGGGTTGTTGTCACAGATGGGTTTCCAACTGGTGTCTTCTCCTCTTCTCGGGTCCAGTCCGGGTTATGGAGGTCCGGGAGATGAAATGCACACAACTACCGATTGACGTCCTGATTAATCGCTTCCCTGAGCTTCTGGTGACTTTCTCTTTTATCCCCTTGTTGTGAGAATAAGCATCACGTGTTCGTCCAATGTTACGGTTCCAAGTTGACACTTATGAGTTAATTTTCCCATCGGATTGTTATGACTAATTGTAACCTCTGCTCTAATTCTTCCCGGGATTGTTTTGCTGTCAAATTTGTTTACAAATTCCTCGACAAATTCAAATTTCCAACAAATTTGTAAAATTGCGGATCTCACACATATAATGTTGTCAGTATAGACACGATACTCCCACTAGTTTAGTTTTGGAACAATTTGATGGTCTTTTGAACTACAGAAAGTTAAGTGAACAATGTCCAGCAGATTGATCTCCTTTGAAGCTAACTTTAATTAAGCAGAGAGTTATCTGCTTTGCCAAAGAACACATATGCAGATATTTCAGTGTGTTACTATGCATCTGGAAAAGTTTGTGCCGGTGCATAGATATGTTGATTGTAGGTAATTTTGATTCCGACTTTGTTAGTTGGTAGATCCTCTGTACTTGATAATGCAATCATAAATTAATATATTTGGAAATGTAAACATAGTGAAGCACTATAAAACGAGTCACATCCCAGTTGTAAGATAACTTTTTTCGAATTTTGACAAAGTTAGTATGAGAATTATTTAGAGTAGCAGATGAACATTCTCCTTTGATTATTTTTATAGATGAAATTGATGTTGTTGGAACAAAAAGGTTATTATTATTTTAAAAAAATCATGTTGGAATTATTGAATCATTAAAATGATATTAAGAATAATTAAATTTCGTTTCTTGAAAATAAAAATTTTTGAGCAATTTTTCTTTTTATGTTAGTGACGCCACATACCCGATGTCGTCTAAAATTATTAAAATTGGAAAGGATTAAGGATTATTTATTGATGGAAGAAGAGTTTCTTAGAAATCAAGAAAGATTGAAACCACAAGAAGAAAAACATGAAGTAAGAAAATAAAGTATTTAATGAATTTGCTTATTTTCAGATTTTGATCTGATTCTGACCCTCATAATTTATAATAGGATAGATTAGAATGTTAATCATTTCTGACCTAAATGTTTAAGAATGAGGAGTGATTCTCATCACTGTAGGTAAAATTTTATAGCTAACTTGTGCTGTCAAATCATAAAAATCTAATTCAATCTAACATTAAATTTCACTAGAACTTGAATATAAAGTGCACTACTTTGAATTAGGTGTTAAAAATTTATAACACCTAATTCAAAGCATCACACTTTATGTTCAATGACTGTGGTGTATACCTCCACAAATTTCATTAAAAACTTACTTTTATCTTTCAGGAAGAACGTTCAAAAGTCGATGATTTGCGAGGTACTCCCATGTCTGTTGGTACGTTAGAAGAAATTATTGACGATAATCATGCCATCGTGTCGACTTCTGTCGGTAGCGAACACTACGTTAGTATTTTGTCTTTTGTTGATAAAGACCAGTTGGAACCAGGGTGTTCTGTATTACTAAACCATAAGGTTTGTTTATTTTAATTATTTTCTGTAATGATTAAGAGAGTAATTTACCGAAAATATTTTAAGATTTTTATTAATTCAAAAAATATTGTGTTAGGTTCATGCAGTAGTAGGAGTATTATCTGATGATACAGATCCAATGGTTACGGTAATGAAATTAGAAAAGGCACCACAAGAGACTTATGCCGACATTGGTGGACTTGATCAACAGATTCAAGAGATTAAGGTAGAAATTTTAATTGAGTATTTAATTTCATGATATTTACTGAGAGTACTATTATAAAAATTTCTTCAAATATAAAATTTTTTACTGTATCTATTCATCTATTTTCTCCATTATATATTGTCTAAATACACGAGATACATTGGTCTTTTTGCAAGAAAAATTATATATTTGTTGATAAACATATTTAGTTGGTCTTTGATAGAATTTAATTGTTGGCGGTGGCTTTAAATCTTTGTAATTAAAATATATTCTCAATATTGAAAAACAATTTAATAGTTGCTGTTATATGACACTTACTACATAATTAGGAACTATAATTAATCTAGTTAAGTGTTCATTCCTTGATATGTATTCAGAACATAATCATATTGGATGAAATGAAGAGAATGAAACTGAAACCTGTTATGCATTTTTCATTCATATGATCTGTAGAATCCAATAATTTCCATATATTTTATTCTGGAAAACTTTTAAAATTAAATTAATTACATACTTTCTAGTGAATAATTTAATCTTCCTTTGTTTAAACATGATGTAGTGCAGTCACTCGACCACTTGGCATTTTCGTCATTAACTTTTATTCAGTTGACTTATTATTATCAACTGAATAAAAGTTAATGATGAAAATGCCAAGTGGTTGAGTGATTGCACTATATTGTGTTTGAACAAAGGAAAAAATACCAACATGGTTTCAAGAAAGTTGAATTAATTTAATCTTGTCTTTTTTGTTGGCTGAACGATTGCAATAAGGTATTACAGTAGAGCGTCGTTTATCCGAATCAATTGGGGACTGGGGTTGTTTGGAAAATCGATATTTCGGATAATCGATTATGTACGAAAAAATATATTAACCTATCCCATGTTAAAATTTTTCTCTGTTGCGTGTTGCTTTGCGTTGAATTTTTGTCGATGTTAAGCCTAACGAAGACTATTGTATCGTTAAAAATTATTTTTTTATTTTGTACAAACAAAATAAATTTATTGAAAAATATAAAAACAATAAAAAATTATACTTCAGA